AGGTATTGTTCACTTAACCAGTGAAGCCTTAAAGTGTTACCAACACTTTTATAGAAATACTTTCTGAAATGACAACACCAGCATATTGAATTCTTCTATTAGAGTTCATAAGGTGCTGCGACACATTTAATGGTCGAGTACGTGCGAGTCCGTCCGTCATTCCTGATTTTGTCCCATGTGATGAACAGGGTGTGAACCAACAAATCCCAGAATCATTAATCTTCCCTGCTAGTGGATCAGTGTAAACGCTCGCATGATCACTCGCTCATTTTTTAAAGCTGAAAAACGTCAAGGGGGAAAAGGAGAGAAGAGCGTTTTTTCTTCTCGCAGATTTTGGGCCCATTAACAGAATGGGTGCTCAGGAAAACATTAAAATAAAACCAGCCGCCCAGGCGCAGTGATTGCTACTTCCTCAGCCTTTCCACTTCATTGATGGTTATGTGAGTTAAAACAAGACACGTAATGGAGACCCTGCGGCCCCCGGGGACTAATTAGAGTCACATGACTTCCTCCTGGGCTTCCATGAAAATAACTCCATCACAATGGTCTGTGATATTAATATCAGCTTTGGGAAAGTCAAGCCTCCGCTCATGAGGAGGGATCCGCTCGAACAAACTCAAGAATGTACAACATCTGAGAGAGAGAGAGAGAGAGAGAGAGAGAGAGAGATTAAGGAAACAGAAGTGGAATCACAAACTGTGGAGGAAAGGTTGGAATACTAATAATAATAAAAATACACAAATAAAAACAGTGCTACATTTCATTCATTGTTTAAAAAAAATGTTATATCAAAAATCGTTTACCACAAACTAACCTTGTATAAAGGAATATGACCTGTCGTATCAATATGACCAGCTTTTTAGTAACAGTTTTGCGAATTGCCTGAAAAACCCCCTCATGCGTGTTTGCATTGGGGCAACTGTAAACCCTAACGGTCAAAATAATTAATTGGTTTGAGTAGGGCAAACTTAAATTCAACGAATTAGTTCAGTCAAATTAATTTTTATAAGTATTTATCACTTTCTTTTTCTTTCAAGTTCACAGAACTGATACATTTTAAGTAAACTGAACTGTTTCATTGTTTTGAGTTTTATGAAATTATTTATTTTAATTTAGACGAATTTAAGTTTAACTGAAACGGCTCGGATATTTATTTCCCAGCATGCTTTGTCGATGGCACTCGAAAGAGAGTGTAAATGCTAAAATGAAGTGCTATATAATGTTTTTTTTGTGTGTAAGATTAATGTTAAGTGTGAGATTTAGTAGTGATTAATGTTTTGTTATGCTAATTTAGAAGAATTTCTGTTAATGTTGGCTTTAGGATAGTTACCATCATGGTGACAAGTGTTGCATTCAGCTTGATTTGAGAGCAAATTATCCCTTATTACGCTCATACAGCAAGTACTTTTATGCTTGTAAGTGCTTATAACATACTGTTTCTAATATGTTAGCATTTACTACGTCAGCAGATTAGCTTTTAAAGCTAACTAAATTTATACTATTAAAAGTGGTTTGAGTTCTGCCAACTTATTCGGGTTTACAGTGTACTTCATAGATTTAAGTTCTAGTAACGAATTAGTACTATTAACTTTATTTACCCAAGTCATCTTAACAATGAGTCATTGAGTTACTTGGAAACAAATCAAATATTTTTTTTATGCTTAAATTGTTTGAGTTTATAAACTTAAATGATTTAAGGCAATCGGTTTTCTCAAACGGTTTGAGTTGAACTAACTCATCAGGTTTTACAGTGGAAACGCGGCTACTGTCATGATCAAGAAACCAGTTTGAGATGAGTTGAGCTTTGTGACGTTGGTGTGTGTGTGTGTTATCCAGCTGGAAGTATCCATCAACACTGTGATCCTAAAGGATGGACATGATCAGCAACAATACTCCGGTTTAAATGATGCTCAGTTGGTACTAAGAGTCCCAAAGTGTGTGAAGATACACCGATTACAGCACCAGCGCCTGAACCGCTGATACCAGACCGGATCATCCATGCTTTCATGTTGTTTTCACCCAATTCTGACCCAAACATCTGAATGTCACAGCAGAATCCAGACTCACCGGTGTGTTTTCACTGGATATTTTCTTTTTTTATGTCCATTCTCTGTAAACTATGGAGGCATATTGCATTCACTTGAAGAAAAAAATCTACTCTGTTTTTCTGAATTAACAAGTTATCTCAGAATTATAAGATAATTTTTCATGAGGAAAAAAGTTTTTGCTCTATTTTTCTGAATTAACGAGTTAATTTTTCATGAGAAAAAAAGTTTTTGCTCTGTTTTTCTGAATTAACGAGTTAATTTTTCATGAGGAAAACAAGTTTTGCTCTGTTTTTCTGAATTAACGAGTTAATTTTTCATGAGGAAAAAAGTTTTTGCTCTGTTTTTCTGAATTAACGAGTTAATTTTTCATGAGGAAAACAAGTTTTGCTCTGTTTTTCTGAATTAACGAGTTAATTTTTCATGAGAAAAAAAATTGTTCTGTTTTTCTGAATTAACGAGTTAATTTTTCATGAGAAAAAAAGGTTTTGCTCTGTTTTTCTGAATTAACGAGTTAATTTTTCATGAGGAAAACAAGTTTTGCTCTGTTTTTCTGAATTAACGAGTTAATTTTTCATGAGAAAAAAAATTGTTCTGTTTTTCTGAATTAATGAGTTAATTTTTCATGAGAAAAAAAGTTTTTGCTGTTTTTCTGAATTAACGAGTTAATTTTTCATGAGGAAAAAAGTTTTTGTTCTGTATTTCTGAATTAACGAGTTAATTTTTCATGAGAAAAAAGTTTTTGTTCTGTTTTTCTAAATTAACAAGTTAATTTTTCATGAGGAAAAAAGTTTTTTTTCTGTTTTTCTGAATTAACGAGTTAATTTTTCATGAGAAAAAAAGTTTTTGCTCTGTTTTTCTGAATTAACAAGTTAATTTTTCATGAGAAAAAAAGGTTTTGCTCTGTTTTTCTGAATTAACGAGTTAATTTTTCATGGAAATTTTTTTAATTCAGAAAAACAGAGCAAAAACTTTTTTTCTCATGAAAAATTAACTCATTAATTCAGAAAAACAGAGCAAAACTTTTTTCCATGAAAAATTTTCTCATAATTCTGAGATAATTATTTTGTTAATTCAGAAAAACAGAGTAGATTTTTTTTTCTTCAAAGTGAATGCAATACGCTTCCGTAGGTAAACCCTGAGGTGTGTGTGTGAAAATCCCAGTAGATCAGCAGTTTCTGAAACACTCAACCAGCCACATTCAACGTCACTTACATCACCTTTCTGATGCTTCAGAATATAAATACTGTATACATATAATTGTAAATAAACAGTAAACATTAAAGCCAAAGAAATGATTGAGCAAATTATTAAAAATACTTTATGAACACACAGGTCAGCGTTTAATCACAGTGTGACACGTAAAACACATTGACATTTCACTCTGATTAGATCACATTTTCCAGCAAATGTAGCTGAAAGAAGTTCCTGTACAATTTGCAACCGCCACATTTAAGGACCAATAAAAGACGCAGGTGGTTAAAAAAAATGAATAATAATTTTTGTCTGTAGAGCCTCTTTTAAAACCCTCTGTTCTCGTATGAAACTGTCATGCTGTCAGTCTGCGGCCTGAAAGGGCAATAATCCAGCAGCTGTATTTGCAGCAATGAAATTTCGGCGCCTTCAGAAACACAGGCTTTGTTCGGTACCTGATCAAATAACCCCTTCACCGTGGAGTCCGCGGCTTCAAACCCGCCCGGGTCGGGACACCGCACTGGCTCCTGGGGCCGGACGCCGCAGCTGCGCGCAAATTACAACTTAGCCGACTGTTGACGTCAAAGATACAACTTAGCACTACTGAATATTTTTGCGTTGCACCATTAAACGTAGTTGAAGCGTAACTATATGTATAAACTAAATATTCACGGAGGTCTCGATCAGGAGTAACGGTTGGACTAAAATAGCAGACATCAATACCCGACAGACTTCAATTCTTTAGAAATATTTGATTTAAACTCGCTTACATTTTAAAGGGGAGGTTCAGGATTTTGAACATCGGGCCTCATTTCCAAGTCAGCCTAAGGCCCTGTTTACTTGAGAACGCTTGCGGGTGAAAACAAAAATATTTTATCGGATGTGCCTTTCGTTTACACGCCTTAAAAACGCAAAAAAGTGAAACCACCCTCCAGAGTGGAAATCTTAAAAACGCTCCACCGCCGCGTTCCCGTGTAAAGGTTAAAAACGCTAAAGTCTGCTTGACAGTGAAGGTTGTACGCAGGCGCGCGGACTTGGTGTCGTTGTGTGGCAGTGCTTCACATCGCCACCTAGCCGCCTGGAGTGCATACTACATTGAATTTCACACACTTTTGCGTCACCATATGCACGTGGATTTACCACTCAAAATGCTCGTCTAAACGCAGAATAAAAAGTGATAACGCAACGCCGCTTTTGCACTTTCTCTTCAGAATTGTTTCCGTGTAAACATAGCCTTAGGGCCCTATTTTAACGATCTGAAACATAAGTATCTTTGTGGGCGGGTCTTGGGCGCTGTTGATATTTTACCGGTGGGATAAATGACTCTTTTGCCCGACGCAAGTTTAAGGCTGAATCCCAATTCTCTGTCTTACGCCTTCCCCTTCGTTTTACCCCTAGCCCTTGCCCTCGAAACCGAGCGGTAAGCACTAGTGCAAATATACAGACACCACTCGGTTACGTCATCTTACATCGTCCTTAACTGGCGTCTGTGTCACCCGGGGCAACAAGTGTTGATCACAAACTTCTCGAAACTTTCAAGATCCCCTCAAAATGTCCGGGATTCGGCTTTTGCTTTCCGCCTTTACTATTCATTATGTTTACACGCAAAAGGTTGTTGTTTCAATCGGACTGAAATTATTCGTTATTTTTATATTATTCGTGAAATTATTCGGCGACTGTAGAAAGCAAAAGCTGAATCCCGGACATTTTGGGGTGATCTTGAAATGTGGGACTGATTGTGCAAATCAGCAATGTAACGTTAGCATAGCCTAGCGTAGCAAAGTAGCGATTTTTAAAAAAACTTTAAAAACGTTTCAATAAACAACATAGTTGCAAATATATATATGAAGAGTTCAGATGCAAAAGCCTCTAAGTGCCATTTCAAATTTTCTTCTAAAATGATCATTTTTATCAAGCTTGTATATTAAAGTTCAGTAATTTCACTAAAAATGGCAATGAAGATTACATATTAATTGTCATTTAAGTGAAATTACTGAACTTAAAAATACAAGCTTGATAAAAATGATCATTCTAGAAGAAAATTTCAAATGGCATTTAGAGGCTTTTGCATCTGAACTCTTCATATGTACATCATTGTGTAGAGCACAAAACAAGACGGTCATGATTTTTTATCAATCATTTAAACGAAAAAAACTTGTGCATTTCTTAACCCTTGGTTTCAAGTAAGCTCGCGAAAATTCTTGGTCGTAAGGGGTATATATCCCTTCACCTTACCCCTACCCCTAGATCAAAATGAGAATTGGGATAGCCCTTCCTCTCACGTGAACGCGCAAACCTAAAGGGAAGGGGTAAGACAGAGAATTGGGATTCAGCCTAAAAGGGGTTGGTCTGAAGTAGCCTCATTATTCATAAGTGTGGTTTGGGGCGTAACGT